AAAATTTGGTCAAAAAAATGATGGTGGGTACAAGAATTCAATTCTCATTGAAATAGTGGGAATATGAGAAATGCTATGGTGACCTCTCATAGCCATCTTTTATGACCAAGTCAAATTCCAAATCCATAGTGGAGATATTTTTAATAGACTAAAATTCATAGGGAAAGAGTAACCAATTCCACTCAACTTCAGTAAATTCTTCTTCAATCCACATTTTTTTCTTTTATTATAACTTTATTATTGAAATGACAGTAATGGTTTGTTTGATTGGTAAAGATGAAAATGCTTTTTAATTTCATTTAAGTTGAAAAATAAAGTGGTTGTATCTTGAAATTCGAATTTTATTTTCACTTTCGTATCAAACAGTCAAAATAAAAATTGAATTATCGAATATGACATTTTTTATAGAATTTAAACCGATGCAACGGACCTTAAGTTTTCTTTTAAAAAAAATATATATTTTTACTATTTTTAAATGAAAAGATTCCAATTTTCTTCTCTCCCATTCCCAAAATCGATTCTCCAATAATAATTCATCTCTCGCCCCAGTCCCCCCTCTTCTCTCTCTCTCTCTCTCTCTCTCTCTCTCTCTCTCTATATATATATACACACACACAGAGACTGTAAAATACTTGACTGCATAAATCTAACCCCGTTTTCCCCGTTTCCCACGGGAATTTACTATAAAAGTGTTCGTTCAATCGGAGCCATGGCTGGGAGGGATTTGCTTTTGTTTGTGGCTTTAACTGTAATTTCTTCATCACTAATGGCGCTGATGGTGCGTGGGAATTCCGAAGGCGACGCGCTTTACGTGCTGCGCAGGAGCCTGTCCGACCCGGATAACGTGCTTCAGAGCTGGGATCAGAATCTTGTTAATCCTTGCACCTGGTTTCACGTTACCTGCAACCAAGAGAGCCAAGTCACTCGCGTGTACGTATATATTTATATTTGTGTATCTATCTTTATATGTACATATTGTGGGTATGTGTGTGAATTTTATGGGATATTTTTAGTAGAATAATTGCCTAAATTTTGTATGTGATTAAGTATGGTTAGGTGCTGAATTAATCGCTTTCTTGGAATTTAAAGCAAAGCTGTAATTTTAAGATTTTTAATCTTTTTTTTTTTATGCACATGAAGGGTCTTTTTGAGAAATTTGGTGTTTAAGCTTTTTTTTTTTACATTTAGAGAACTTCAAATGCTGGAGAATCTTTAATCATCTATTCCAATTGGTTTTCAGTGAAATCAGTTCAAAAGTTTGGCTAGCTGTAGAATTTTGATTTTAAGTTTCACATGTCATGATATCAGAGGGATCCACATATAAAGCTGTGAGCAAGAAACTTCAATATGAAATAACAAGGGGAAGAATTTGATGTTATCGTGTTAATTTCTAATCTCCATGTACTCAAGTAAGAATGTGTTGCCAAGTCTTTTTGAGAAATTTGGTGTTTATTTTTTTTATTTTTTTTTTAGAGACCTTCAAATGCTGGTGAATCTTTAATCCTCTTTTCCAGTTGGTTTTCGGTGAAATCAGTTCAAAAGTTTGGCTAGCTGTAGAATTTTGATTTTAAGTTTCACATATATGATGATATTAGAGGGATCCACTGATCCACATATAAAACCGTGAGCAAGAAAATTCAAATATGAAATAACAAGGGGAACAATTTGATGTTATCGTGTTAATTTCTAATCTTCATGTACTCAAGTAAGAATGTGTTGCCACTGTAGGATTGCCGCCATAATTTTGCAAATTTGTTCATAATCTTATTTTAGTTTTGAGTTTTGTTGTGCTCGCTACTCACTGTAGGATCACCAAGATATTTGATCATGATCTACCCTTAGTTTTAAACTTTGACATGCTCATTTGGTTTTGAGAACTAATATATTTTAGGACTTAATCAAATAAAGTGGGCTAAAAGGAAAATGATATATGTAATGTCCCATTTATGACAAACACAACTTTTCTCATTATTTCATGAGAAATCGAATTAGTGTTTGATTTGAGATGTCATAGTTTGTCACTGTTCAATATTGAGAGAACATGTTTTGAAATATTATGCCTTCCTGATGTTTTGGGACTTAATGATACTTATAAATTCATTGTCTCTCTTCCTAAAAAAATTAGCGTTTTAATTCAGTATTCATTTTAATGCTTTATGTTTTCTTGGTTTCATCTTGTATCTGCACTTCATCTTTTGTTTTGTGATGATTATGCACCCCAAATATGTTACTTTGGTGTGATTTTCTGCAGGGACCTTGGCAACTCAAATTTGTCTGGTCATCTGGTACCTGAACTGGGAAAACTCGAACATCTGCAGTATCTGTGAGTATTATACATCTCTTTCAGTATTAATTTTCTCATAAGCAGATGCTTTTAGCTAAGCTAAGCATAGTGATTTTCCTTACAAAGAAATACGTTCCATGATACAAGGCTGATTCCAGCTATTTCATTGCATTTTGTTTGCAAAATTGCTTATGCAAAGAAATTTATTACCTTTATATCCCTTTTTTTTTCCCATTTTATTTAATTCCAGTTAGCTATTGTATACATCAAACTTGAGCATACTGAAATAAGCTGTGATCTTTCAGGGAACTTTACAAAAATAACATTCAAGGGAATATTCCAGCAGAGCTTGGTAACTTGAAGAACTTAAAAAGTTTGGATCTGTACAACAACAATATCACAGGGACAATCCCTCCTTCATTGGGAAATTTGAAATCGCTCATCTTCTTGTAAGTTTGAGCTCATTATATTCTACCATTTTATCTGATCGATATGTCATTATTTCCACACGGGGAGGGTAGTCGCCTTGGGATTGCATATGTTATTATCAACTATATTAGTATGACAAGATCTAGGTGATCAGAACGTTTCTCTTTATCGAACCACTTCAAGAATGAAGAGCTTAAATCTCTCTCCCTCTTGTCACTATCTTCCGTCGTCTGCATGTGAAAACTTGAGCATTTGGTTCGAAGTCAATAACCTTTGGTGTGCTTTGACAGGCGTCTAAATGATAATAGGTTAACTGGGCCAATCCCAAGGACACTTGTTGGTATTTCAAGCTTGAAAGTTGTGTAAGTTAATTTGATTTGAGTTTCAACTATTTGTACTTTGTTTGTTGCATAATGCTAATGTTACAATTTCCCTTTACAGTGATGTCTCAAATAACAATTTGTGTGGTCCAATCCCTATTACCGGTCCATTTGAACACATCCCATTGGACAAGTAAGATATGAAAATATTAATCTTTTAAATATTTATTTTGATTGTTTTCATATTTATTAATTATTTCATTCATTCATTTTTGTTTTTTGCTAATTGTCCGGTCATGTTCATATGGCGGTGTTATCTTTACTCATTTACCGCACTATCCTCTATGCGTGAGCTTCTGTTCTTAGAATTAAGGATATAATGCATATTTAGCTGAACATAAAAAGTAATTAAAATAACTTTTGAGCTTAACCAAACATACTTTTAGGTTTAAAAAGTTGCTTTTAAACTACTTTCCCAACCAATGTTGGCCAAAAAGTACAAGTTTTAGTTCAAAAACTAATCTTTTTGTATGAAAGTCTTTGCTTACGTTTTAGATACTTCTACTTTTTAAATGGTGAAAATTTTGTCGAGAATTTCCTGAGAGGTTGAATATCAAATATTTAGTTTACATTTTCTGATATATATGCGGACTTTTGGTACATTGAAATCAAATGACTGTACAAGGGCTTTTGTCTTGGTGGCTTTTGTCTTTTTTGCTTCTTTTGCACGGTCTGTCTTCCTCCATTAATCTTCTTTAGCATATGAATTTTTTAACGAACCCTTCCATGGTTCAGTACCGAGTCACCATTGTTTTCATTACATGCAGCTTTGATAACAATCCTCGTCTGGAAGGACCCGAATTGCAAGGACTTGCTGGTTATGATACCAACTGCTCGTAAGAAAACTATGAATAGATGCTGAAAGTTGCAGCTATTTTCTTCTTGTTCTAAATGTTGTGTTTCTTCTTACATACGAAGTCGTGTGTTGTAACCTTAAGATGCATATTATATTACCCGTACGAATTATTGTCTATGTAGGTTGTTATTAATGCTTATCATGGTTATTTATGGAAAAATTGCCTCTGTATTTAAGTTATTTCGCAATTTACGAAACAATCAACAAGATAAAAACTTCATTTGTGCAGCCCTATGTGAAGACGTGCGGTCCTATGTAAACATGTGGCAAGATCGTCTATTCGAATCACTACACTTAAATTTCAAACTATTCAAGTTATGACGCTGTAAACAACCTCTGGGGAGAAGATAAATGAAGTGGGTGGATGGGCCTACTCAACGTTCTAGGTATTGTGAATTGAGTAGTTCGAAATTTAAGGTATCGTGATTTGAGTGGACATTTCTATCGGTGTGCATATAGGACCGTCTGTCCGTCCCACCGAAGTACAATTGAAGAGTTCCTCACCTTTGTAGCAAGCACAACGTACATTCTTGCAATCCGCAACAAAATGAAGTGCACAATGTTTCATTAGCATTCACAAAATCTTGGCATGCTCAGGAGGGATGAGAGAAACTCGAATCATAAGAGAGGCATTCATTGACAGAAGTAATGTCTGCACATAATTTTAAAAAAAAAACTCACTCCAACTGTAACTTTTACATCAACAAATCCAGTATATTAGGAGACGTTCACAAACTAAAATAAGTCTCCACATATTTTAAGAACACTTTGCTCGAATAATAAGTTCACGTTCAAAAATGCAGTATACAATAATGTTGAAAGGCTGAAACAAGCTTCAAAACTGCCCACAAAAGAAAAACAAACATAACCCGAAGAAGGAAAATCTCGCCACGCTGAAGAACTCCAAGAAATAAATAAAAACACATTCTTGAAGGAAGTCACCATTTCGCTACTCAATTGAAGCAACACGAACAAATACCCAATACCGTCTGAGGCAAACACAAAAAAAGGGACATGAAACACCATTTTCTTCCCAATCTTCTTCGCTTTCTTACTCTCTGTCGGAATCACTTGAACTTGAGTCAGAACTCGAGCTTGAGCTTGAGCTTGACTTTTGGGATTTTTTCTCCTTGTCTTTAACAGATGGAGTTGAACTTGTGTTTTTAGGTGTTTCAACTTCTTGGCCAGGGTCTTCAGCAGAAACCGTGTTCATTTCTTTTACACCATCTTCTTTAATACTTGATTCGGCTTCGGCATACTCATCAGACAAACTTACTTCATACACCTTGAATTTAGCCGATCCATCTTCATTCGGCTTCAACTGTTTCTCCAAATCAATAACTTCCGAAGGCATTGTTTCCACAGCATGCAATTCTAAAGTGGTCCCTTGCATGTTTCTGGAATTCATCACATGCGGAGCATCGGCAACAGAATTGGGCAGGGTACTTTGCTGAACAATACTATCATGGACTTGGGTATGGACCAATGTGACATCTTCAGTCGATGTAACATCCAGAATTGGCAGTTCAATCTTGGTGTTCGTCAATATTCCATCCTCTGAACACTCAACTTTAGTTTCTTCGACTATCAGATCAGTATCGGGTAGCTGAGCAACTACAGGCTTCTCAATTTCTCTCTGGTCTATTTTTTTAAATGCCAAATCAATATCTTGAAATGTTCGTGCTTCGAGTTCTGTCATTCCAGAATTGGCATCTATATCAACTTCATCTTGAAGGGGCATCTCAGGCTCTGCAACCATGACTTCAGTTTCCATCGATGTTGATTTATACTTCTTATGCATATATTCAACATCTTCAACGGATTGCACTTCAACTACAGGCATACTAGAATTATTTTCTTCAGAATTCAAATTGTCTTTGCTTTCCTTCGGAGGAAGTGGTTCTTCTTCGGATGACTTTGGATGAATAGAGTTTTGGACATCCCTTGCAACAAATTCCCTATTTGATGAATCAATAGGTTCAATTGTGCCAGTAGCCTCATGTGGTGAAGACAAGCTTTCTCCGGAAGAATCCACGTGTCCCTTGAACTTGTTGAAGCTTGATTGACACTGGTTGACATTGAAGTCACCAACTGCATCCAATTCTGATAGCAGTCCATCAATTTCCTCTATCTCGCCCGTGTCTTCAACCATAATCTGTTCATCAACACGAGAACTAATTACTTCAGCTGGAAAATTGCAATTATCTAATGCTGGAATTGTATCACTATTTCCAACTTCACCACTGGCACTCGTATTTGAAATTGATAAACTCGCTCCTGTTTTCATTTCGTGAGCCTCCAATTGAGGGGAAATAACATTTGACGAAATTTCAGAATCTAGCTCCTTAACGTCTGGGATGCTCGAGCTGTCTTTAGTTCTTGCTTCCTCAATTGACTGGACCAAGGTATGAGGTGCTTCCTGTATCATTTCAGACAAGATCTTTAGTTTTTTCCTGCAGCCTAGCATGGCCATGCAGTGCACCATCATAATACAGCAATTACATAACAGATTAAATAGCATGTGGAAACAGCAGAAATGCCAGATCAGAAAACTGAAACAATAATCGATTTCTTATGCTACAACACTCTCTCTCTGATAGATCAAATTAAAATACTGTTCCTTTCACATCAAGTGCAGACTGATTTTCTCATAACTGTGCAAAGAAAATATTAATTTAAAGATTCTGCCAATACATTCAATAAATAATGTTGTGTTTTAGAAGGAAAATCAATCTCGGGATTCTAGTAGTTAGAAAAATAACGCCTGTCATAATGGTAACCGGTGGTCTCAAGAATATAATAAGATATATGAACTAGAAAGCACAAATCCAGATGTGGTTCACACATTCCATTTATGAGGTCAAGTTCAATCATCATAATCGATGTCATAACATCCATGAGAAAATAAAATTAACCTCTATAACCAAATATAGCTAATAAACTGGAACAATAGATGTTGCCATAAAGAGAGCTAAATAAGCTCTAACAGAGTCCGAAACCTTTATATTTTTCTTCCATTACCAAAAGCAAAGTAAAATGAGCAAACACCAAAGTTAAATAATTCCGTCACTTTTCAACCATCATTAGGCAAGTATACCCCATTAGGCTTCAGTCAAGAATTTAGAGAATGAAGCTACATATATCACAATGCACAGCCGATATCACTTATACCCACTCTCCCTTCCAGTCTAACTTCCTTCTTTTCTTTTATAAATCCTGTCCACCATCCATTCTGCGAAGGAATCTGCATACACATTTCTTCCAGAGAACTGGCTTCAAGAATAACAGGGAAATCCTTTCATTTCTCCTAACAAGAGTGACAAATTATTATGTTCGTGTTTTCTTGTTTTTGTTAAATCACTGATCTAAAAGAATTGACGTTACATAAGGTTTATATGCATAGCTTGAGAAAATCATCTGCAGTCTACGTATATATTATTAGAAAACTTGGCAGATTAACACATAAAGATCTGCTGTGACATGTGCATAAAATGCAGTTTTTTTTATTATTTCTCAGGATGAAGGTACTATTTTTTACGAGAACTTTTCCTTACATGAAGATGTATTGATATCCACATTGGAGCAGCATTCACAATATCCTAATCTTGTTGGTCATATGGCGTCAAACATTCTTCGTAATTTAGGTGAATGTGTATTTCATCATGATGTTCATGGTGTATCCTCACTTCTAAGGGCCAAAATCACCCTCCTAGGAATTGTCTCCATGACCACACCCTTCTCAGATTTGTTGACAAGAACACACTGGTTGCACCATGTTTTTAAGTTCACAAAGAGCTTAGCTTCCATATAAGGGAAGTCAAATATAGTTACCAGTGTTACTTATCATTTCTGTTGCAGAAATTGGCAGCATTGTACTGCAAATAGATCGAGCTTATTTCAAGAAGACTTATATTTACAATAAACACCACCCCCCAAAAGGAATGAAGGTGCTGCAAATTTCACATCCCTAGAATGGTTTGTACACACCATTTAAATTTGTTTTTCTGTAATTGATGCCCAGTTGGGAAGACTGACTTATCCTAGAATCCAGAAATTTTCAACCCTTTTGACCACTACACCCAATTCCAGAATCAGTTACCTTAACACAAGACATCTTCAAAATCATAGTGATGCAGAACCCAACACAGAGAATTATACAGAAGAAGTAGAGGAGATAAAATAATAGAGAAAGAGACAGATAGAGGTAAGAATAAGATCAGAATTCAGGAAAGAATATTTCACAATATAAATATTCAATAATTAGTAGTTTATTCCTTTCTTCGCAAATTGGAAATCCTAGATACTCGACCAAGAATCTCAATTTAAGGGGACTTCTAATAAACTACAAACTCATCAAAATATCGAAACTAATCTAATTCAATCTAAACAAGCACAATTTAATCGTTGTAATCTTCGACTAGATCTCTTCACTCCTTAGAATTTCCATTTCTCCCAGCTGAGATAACTTGAGTCCGATGAGTTAGATAATAAAGAGCTTCCCAGAAGGACAAGCTTTTTGGCAAATCAATCTAAAAAAAACATAATTAAAAGTAGTCCTCGACTAAATCTCTTAGTCCATAGAATATCAACCACACAGAATCAACTATCAATTCATTCACCCCTTTTTCTGGGTTAGTGGTTGGTTGTGCAAGCAGTGGTGGGATGGGAGCTTCACTCAATATTTTTATAAGGCCATTAAGCGTAGCTCAAGATAGAAGATGGTGTTTCTTCTGCTAAACAGAACTGACTATTCTTGGAAGAGAAAATTAAATGAAATAGAAAACCAACATCCCAAACCATACATCCACATTTTCTTTGCAGAGCAGGACCTAAATTTACGTTTTAAATTATGGATTCATTTTTATCTTTCGCAAGCTGTTTACTTCAGAGCATTAAACAGATAACATCCTCGGAACATAGGTGTAATTTATGTCAACGTATTAACTCACACACGCTCATTTACGTGCCCATGCTACTAAATATTTGGAAGAATATTAAAAAAAATGTTAGGAGCATAAGTCTCACTCAAGTGTAACAACAGGTTAGTAATCAAGACACCTTTTTCCATTATGCAATGAAGATGTTGAATATCTAATTATACAAGCAAGTGCAAGTAGACACTTATGGCAGGTTTGGTCGGAAGACATAGTGCCCCTGTTTGGCCCTCATTTGTCTCCAAACTCACTTTCAACCACGCGTTCTTCCAATAAAATAATTTTGCACATGGATCCATAACTTTTTCCCATTTTTTAACCACATTCTCCAAAAAAAAAAATCGCTTTTCACACAACCTATTATCAAAAGATCTCTACCAAATGGGGGCTGTACATCATTAAGGGAAGAAAAAAAATCTAAAATCTGGTTCATTATATTATCAACTTCTGTCCAATTCTACAAATGAAACATGTATTTTAGATTAACTGTTTAATACGAAGTCACTGAAATTAGAGTTTTTTGACTCATGCTTGCGAACCAATTTTTAAGAAGACAACATAATTAGTAATTATTTAGGCAAATGTAGAGTGGAATTAATACCAGACTGTTTGACCCAGCACTTGCTAGCTTGGTTATGGACATTGGAACATTGCTCCCACAAAGTTGCCATTTTAGCGTATTGTATAAATTGAACAAATCGCCATTTTATTCATGGAAACCAATAGGGACTGGTTTATAAATTATATCAGGCACTCATACAGTGAATTGCACAGATTTTCCTGTACATTAGAAGCAATAATAATTTCATGCCTTGAACAACAAAAAATGAGGAAATAGTAGTTTGACATACCTGCTCATTCATTGGTTTATCCGTGAAATCCAGTTCGTCATCAAAGTGAGAAATTGATTTTTCCTCGGAATAATGTGAAGAAATCAGCTTCTCTTCTGCTTCATTGTGAAAAACCGCATCAAATTTCACATCAGAATCAGATGATGGGACATGGTCCTGAGCAGACCGAATAATTTCTTCCTTGTCAAATGAACCTTCGTCAGACAATTCAAGCATGAAAGGAGGTGTATTGAGTTGACTAACTGAAGCTTGCTCAGAAATCAAAGAACGCTTTTCCTCCTCCGATTGACCCAAGATTTTATCTGCAGATGACTTGAAAGTTTGCTCTGCAACAGGGTGGACCATGACGTGAATATCTCCATTGAAACTTGATACTTCACCTTGTGCATGCTGATAACTACTGTGTTGATAAGAAATATTTTCTTCCATTGAAGCTCTAGCAGATGTTTCTACATGAATTTGGCCAACTCCAGTGAAATCAGAGTCCATAATATCATGCTCTCTTATATCCATAAGATTCTTTGTCCCTGCTTCATTTTTATCTACTGGATGCAGCATCTCAACGTTACAAGAACTGTCCTCCATTTCATGACAACTCCCTTCAGATTCTCTTTCAATAAAAGAAACACTCCGCTTAGCCAACTCAGGCATCAAACCAAGTTCAGACTCTACATGCACATCAGAGGACGTAGAGGACAAAGAAAGGTTCTTCGTACATGCTTGGGGGCTTGAATCATAAACAGGATCCTTGTATGGATTCTCATCAACTGATGTACTAGAAATATTGAGATCAGCACTTTCTAATGAAGGTTGAGTTGAAATGTCTTGCCCTTCAGGAAAAGCGTCTCTCCTTTCCTCCAATGTCAACAAATTGTCACCTCCTTTCTCATTAAAGATCCTTTCACTCACTTCTGACAATGATGAAGAACTTGAACTACTATTATATCTCTGTTCAGCAGCTTCTACAGAAGAATGAAATTCAGTTGCTTGGCCTTCCTCTGATCCGGCTACATTTCCTTCTTCATAATGATTTTCCAAGTCTCCTAATTGAATATCAAGCTCATCAACGTCATCTCTCTTCTCAACTTGATCTAACTCCAAGGATTCTACTTCTTCAGAAGATTGGCTTCCATGTCCAACATACTCGGAAACATCCTCAATTTTGGAGATCGACACTAGTTCCTGAGGTATAACTTCTTCAACACTGTCTTCGTTCTCGGAAATCAGCTCCGTCTCCCGAGATATGACCTCTTTAATGACATCTTCTGACTTGGAAATCACCTCTGGTTCCTCAGAAATATCTTCTTCTGCCAGCTTTCTGTCTTCCAGATCCCCGACCGAACCAGTAGATTCTGTTTCAGGAACAGAACTCACCTTCGACTCACTAAGTTCACTTGATTGTCGCTGAAATTGTGAAAAGCTTGTTCCTTCTGAAACCATCCCTTCCGGCACAAAATATGGCCTTAATTTGATATCCCGATTCTCTTGCCTATTTGGAGCAAAAATTGAGGGTCCCACATTAAAACTCTCGTGCCTACGGAAAGCCGGTTCCTTTGGTTGAAACGTCATAAACTCCTCTTTGAAATCATCGCCTATAAGATCTGGCTTCTCTTCACTTGAGTCGTAAGGAATATCAAAAGGATTTCGCCTTGGTAATAAAATAGATGGAGCAGAACCAGGAATTGGAGGTAGCCCAGAACTATCATGAGGGAGGTCAAATGGGTTATGCCTTCTTGTTGAAATTGGTGAAATGTTGAATGGAAGATCAGCACTTTCTAAGTCTATCAAGTTCCTTTCCGGCAACATGCTCGTATTTTTCTTTGCTCTCCTCCTTGCAATTAAATTTTCTAACCGCTGATTCCTTTCAAGCTCAGAGCTTCCCAGATCCATCAGATTCTTTTGGTCCTCTTCCGTCCATGTAATAGCAGATTTTGTCTGCTCCTCTTTGTCCCCTTGTGTGTCTTCTTCATCTTCAGCTTCTTCATTGTCATCATCAGCAACTTCTAGGTCATGATTTTCAGTTTCATCATCTGACTCATGACTGCCAGTACTGGATTTTGGACAACATTCTGATGCCGCATCAGATCCATCATGGGACAAATGAACAGGTTGCGGAGCATCTTCATCCAAAAGTGGGTGAAGCTCATCAAGCATTGGAATTATGTCAGTCATTGAAGCATCTGGAGAGGAACTCTCAGTTGTATCAGACTCAGAATCTAAAGCCTCATCTTCTTCTCTCTCTTCCTCCACTTCTTCTATTCGTGTCCAAGGTGACTGAGGAGGAGAATCCAGAGAATCTACATTAACCCTCTCTGAATCAAAAGAATCTGCTTGTGATTTATCGTCATCTGACTCAAGAGGTTCATCATTCGGAATAGAAGAATACTGATTCTCCATAAGTTTCTCATTACCAAGTTTCTTTTCTTTCAATTTTCTCTCCTGATCATGTCCCACATCACTCGACTCTCTTTGTGCTTCCTCAATTACGTTATTCTCCCATTTTCTTTCCTGAGACCTTTCTTCAATCAATGGTACAGTATCATTAAAACTATCGTCTCCATCAACCTCACTAGTTTTACCAGCTTCCGAACTCAATTGCTCTGTCAACTTCTCTGCTGCATCCCTTCTTATATCATCGTATCTCTCAACAGAGTAGCTTTCATTTCTCTCAACAACAGTAGAATTTTCAGACACCCCAGTTTTCAAAGATACAATCCCATGGGTTGTTTTCTCTTCTCTTTCAATTTCAGGTATATTCGGTTGCCCAAAACTTAAAAGGGTTCCAAGTAAAACAGCAGTGCAAACAAGAATCGGAGACACAGACAAGAACAATGAAAACACAAAAGGAAATGATCTGTGCAGATATATCAAGAAACACAAAAAACCCACAAGGAAAGGATGACTGCAAACTGATCTAAAACACCATCTGATTGTACAGATCATAACTTTTCTCATTTTAACTCCAGTTTCCGACAATTCAACAGCCATTTTCTGAATTCCTACTTCCAATAAGTAATTCTTACTTCCAAATCTGCTACAATGATAAAATTCAGAAACAAACCAATTAAATTTCCATCGGATCGGCCATTCGCTTCCCCCAGAACAATAAACAATTAAAAAGTTATACTAATCTAGAACTCACCTTATACAAATCAATTGAAATGAGAATCTAAATATCAGACTATGAACTCAAGCAGTACCTGAAAAGCCAAAAAAACAGGGGAAGTTTAGACTTCCCAGAAGGCAAAAAATTCATCGTCGACAAAAATGTTAAGAATTTTATAACAATAGGAAAGAATTCAACTTTACCGACTCAAAATACAGATCAATATCCCAAAATTGAAGTGTAAAATAAAAAAAAAATCCTTTACTTCATATAAATACAATCCTTCGAACTTTTTTCCTTTCCTTTTTACCTCAACTACAGCTATAATTGCAGTGTTTTATACGAGTTTTTAGTATTGCATTGTAAAAAGCGAATTAGGATACCCAAAAGAATAGAAAAATAATGTGAAAAAAAAATGAAAAGTTGGGATCTTTCTTTTTCAATCTCAACTTTGAGTTCTGTTATTCAAAGGTGAGTATTATTAAAATAATTGTGTTTAACGCAAAATTTCAATTGAGGTCATCTAGTTTACACATTTGTTTCGTGATAGTCACTCAACTTTATTTTAATTCAATTTGAGCATTTTAGTTTTTTTTTCTTTTCAATTTAACGATCTCGCCTATTGTAGCTATCGAAGCTGGCAGAATTGGTGATTTGACCAACAAAATTCATATTTCAACGTATAATTGACAATACAATTCACTTTCTAAAAAGTACAAATTTCACATCTTTTAAACGGCAAACCTTTCATCGTAAGAAATGACGCTAACTTTTGTTTGGGTTTCTTATAAATTTTTTTTAAAAAAATACATTTCAAAAAATAAATAATGAATAAGTAAATAATACTTGTATGTCCTCTAAAACGTGTAATGAAAATTGATATTTGAATTTAAGAAATAACATTTAGCAAAAGAAAATGAAACTCAAACAAAGGGCATCACAAAGAAAAAATGGATCACTCGACTAGCTATGTCTCAAATTTAACCGGTCAGATCACATATTTGTTAGATATTTTTCATCATTTTGCATGTATTATCTTTTGTTTTGCGAATATTTTGCCGCCCCGACTAGTGTTTGCTGCTACGCAACGGGGATTTATTTTCAGAAGACTTTGAATAGGTATGTTTTTTCTAATAGATGCGTCCATTCATTTCAAGATTTTATTACATATTTCCAACAATATTTTGCCTATCAAATCCCAAACTCCTTCAATTTTGACGAGGTTCAAGTGCGAAAAATAGTCAAATTGAAACGAAAAAATACGTTAATTTGGTGATCAATTTTTTTTTTAAAAGTTGAGTGGCCAATATGAAATAAAAACATTAAGTTAGATGACCTGCAATCAAAAGTTACCCTTTACTGATACATACTATTATTTTACTCTAATGATACAGAATCAATGGTAATCTGCATGGTAATGATGAATTTGATCCGTTGATTCATCATTTACGATTGTATTAGATGGATGACATTGTTTTGATTGGAAAGAAATCCATCATACGGCTGGGATTCGAGATCACAGCCCATGATACCCGAGGCCGAGAGAATTTTTCATAATAATGTAATACAAAAAGAGAAAAAATTCTATGCAAATCTTATTTATTTGTAGACGAAATTAATCACGAAAATACCTACTAGCATGCTTTGGAAATGAAAATTCATTCAATGGAGCTCCGAATTTTGAGAATTTTTTATTCACCTACGACTTTGGAGGGTTGGTTAAGGTTGCTTAGCCTGCTCGATTTACTTCTCTTTTCTTGGGCCAATTTTGCTTTTAAGTGTTCACAAGTACCACAATTATAACTTCCTAGTTTATGTACCCATGGATGGCTCAAGTTCGATGAACCGCGCTTAATGGCCCCACATTCCATAATCTTCCACCACACAAACAAGTCGATTCCATTGTGCAATGGAGGGTTGCGCTAAAGCTGGTTGGGTTGTTGATTATTACAAGACGAGACTTGCATCAATTACAATCTTGAGGAGAATAACGAAACTATTAACCCCTGCTTGATTTATCTTTAAAAAAATTGATAAATTAATTTTAATCATATATTTTATAGGACTAGCAGCGGATCCAACACCCGACAAGGGGGCACAGCTGGGCTTGCTGAATTCGTCAGAGTCACTACAAAAAACTTGAAGACGCAATCACACTCATGCAGGCACTAAGGATGGGGTCAAGAGGTTGAAGGTGAAAGCAATTGGATTTGACTTTTTTATAACCGTGAGTTTTTTTGGAATTGGGTCTCCTATTTTTATTTTAAAAAAAGGCTTGATCTAAATGTCTAATATGTGATTAGTTTGTATTGAGTCACAAATCGCATCCCAAATTTCGATTGCAATTCCAGATGAAATTGGCAGTGCAAACCCTATCTATGTACTCAGTACATGGGGGCACTTGCAAGATAGCTGAAGCGGGTGAATAACATAGCATTTCCGATGATAGTGGTGACACTTTCTCAGTACAAGTTGCGGGTTGTAGCATTGATGATGTTGGGACATCTTGGGGAACTTGAACTATTCAGCGCCTCAATTGCTACTTCTTTCACAAATGTTGACAGATTCAATGTCATTGTAAGATCCTTTTTCTTGTCTCAACTTTTGATTTTGGCAATGATTGCTACAAGTCATACATTTGAATAGTTTTGTGAACTGTAATGAAATTTTGAGAATAGATTCAAATCGATTAGCAGTAATTATGTTTTTAAGGTATATTGTGAGTTTTCGATCTATAGAATTTGGTGTTAGGGATACAGCAAGATTCAGTTTTACTCTATACGGAATGTTGGCCTGCTGACTAAATTACATTGATTTATGACTTTTAGTATCTATTCTTCAATACTTTTTTGTGTTCAAGATTCGACAAGAACACTTTGTTTGTTATGTAACCTGTTAAATCACTAGTCTACACAGATTTTTTCAGAAATCGGAGATAAATCTAACTAGAATCTTTGTTTTCTTGCCACAATTATGCTAGATTATGAAAAGATTTTTTTAATCGAAACGAAAGTCCCAACTTAGTTCTTCTAGTGTTGCATTTAGTTTGACCACTGCGTTTAGTCGAGCACATAAGTTGTTAAATAACACAAAGATTATTTTCATATATATATTTGATTTTTACGTTTTAGTCCACGATCAATGACCGTCCTAGTTGACTTACAATATTAGATCCGCCACTGTATAGGACCCACAACTTTTATCAACTTTATAAATACACATTTCCTTTACTTTTATTTAAATTTACTAAAAATCTGATTTTCACCAAATAGGGGATAAAATGATCAAACAAATGCATATATCATATATATAACCGTTAGTATGACAATCTCAAAGGGCTGCCGCTGGGAGGGGAGAGATTAGAGAGAATAGGGAGTTAAAAAGTACAAAATGAAATCTAAAAGCAACGTTTATAGCAGTCTGAGGGAATTGCATTTAAACAAATATTTTACATTCGAGGGATATTTGGCACTTAATACTGGAACTGGACTGGATCGGAGAGTACAATAAACAAAATTTAAACTTAGTTCATTGCGAACTTGCAAGGTAATGGTACCAAATGCAGCAGCAGAGTGCCACGAGGAATACAAAATGGAATAGAACAGAGTATTAAAGAAGAACAAACTTTACCAATGGTAATTTATATTTAGATGAATTTCTGAGACAGCACAGGAGCACGGGGGTGTAACACACCTAAAATATTTACTCTTGTCACTGTCCAAACAGCCTAGCTCCAACAACTTAATAATACTGCAACAAAATATGTCAAATGTTTGTGCACAAGAATATATTCACTGTCAACTATTATCATCCAATATTTTACACTGGCGAAATGGATCCAAATGACATCCTTAAAGAAAACTCAGATAGCAAAGGCGTAGAAAACTAATTTCTCGTGACACATTACTCATTCTCGTGCCTGATTAAATAAGATGCAAAATATAACAGAACGCACATGACAGAATAGCCATATTATGTATCAATCAAACACTTAACAGTCCGAAAGTGACTACATTCTAATAAAACAGTAGCACCCCCAACACATCGACGAGGATCACCATAGGCATCATTTTTTCAGTATGCATCTAAAGCTCGAAACAGAGCACATAAATCATGTATTACCAAGAGCAAAAAGCTTACTTATAAGTAATAATTAGGAAGTTAGAAGTAAGAAAGAAGCTAAATATCCAGAAATGTTTAAATGTTAATTTCTACCTTTCAATTTTAAAGCTTAGCCAAACATGCTCTAAATGCATTTCCAAATCTCCGAAAGCTCGCTAACTAAACCTCGCACATTAAGCAAAAAATGAATGAAACTGCATTGACGGTTACAGTGATTTTCGTAAGATTCTTACCAGCAGCAACATGATCAAAACTTTCCTTCTACTGGAAATCATTGCAGAGAATTCCATTAAATCTAGGGTTTGGAGTTCATGCACATTTTCAAACAGTCTGGATGAGTGCTGTAAAATATTTGACAATTGTTGTGCTTCCACTGTGATTTCAAATCTCTTGACATGCATGAGAAAGAATAATGAAAAAGATACACAAGTCAGATTACTGTTGATTTGTTGCAGATTTTATTAAATGCAAATATTGTTTTGTGAATAATTTGATGGCAAAAATAGAGGTAATTTTCAATACCTCTTCTACATTTACACTTAGGTTTGCTCAGATACAAGAAATTTGAGTTACCAGAAAATTGAAAAAAAAAATGTCAAAACAATGAAAAATTTGACAAAGAAAAAGAAAAGAATAGCCATATCAAACTATAGAAAATCTACGAGTTAGACTCAGTCATACATAGCTCACATTCAAAGTTCTCCATGGGGAAAAGGACAACGATGGTTAGAAAGGAATTCTCTATTTAATATCTCACAATTTTAGTCCTTCAAGTTGAAGTTACTATCCTAACGAGATCACCCTTTTTCTTTTGCTTTCTCTAAATAAATGCTAATTTCTGAACTTATGTCCATGTGAGACATAGAGCAGCTTCCTTCACAGTTACCTAGAGTGCAAATTACAAAGAAATCTTGCCAAAGCTTTCTTAGTGACCCCTAAATTATTCACAAGAGAAGTTGGTACATTTGGAAGAGTTTCTAGGCATAAACCCCAGCATTGACAACCCAAGGAGAGATATCTCCTCAACGCTTTCGACAATGAGAATCATGATATGCTTTTGATAATGCTTCAATCATTTGTTATACGTTAATAAGAAACCACAGTTCACGACAGTGGGCAAACAACCCCCAATTATGATCTTCCGGTTGCAACTTAAATATCAGCATTTTCAACCAAGAACCAACATTACTCTACTACAGAAATAAAATGGCAAAAAAGAAAGGAACAGCATTTCAAGTTTTTGGCTGTTGAAAGCCAAAAGATGCATCAATTCAATGATACCGTCAAAGAAACTGCATTTGCACTCTTTCTCAAGATTCTCCTAGATCTCTCCAAATAAAAAGACAAGTGAAACAAGGAAATTAGCATCTTTCTAAATCCGTCAATTTTCTTTAAGAGCATAATCAAAAAGAAGAAGCCGCAGGTATTAAACCTAATAATCAAATAGTAGAAACAAATTTATGCGTTATTTGCACTATATAGTATTGAGTTACATGTAAAGTAACATAATTTTTCAAGATCAAAGCCATCAATAATGAACCGAGCCTGAGAATACACAAGAATTCACTGTTGTTGCAATACAAAAATATGTTGAAGTTGTCCCGTGGCATTTACTCTCATGTCAAAAAAGATGATCCATATCTTTAAGGTCGTGTGTAATGTCACAATCAGTAAAATTCATTTGTGCCACAGAATGAAGCAGGAAGGATTAGAACATCACCAAACTAGTAGAAGTCCCAACAACAAATGGTTCCATTAGCAGTCTTGTCAAAAAGTAAAACACGATCCCCAAACAAATCGAAATAGGAAGAGCAGGCAACGCATGACGACAAACTGCCAACAATATGAGAGTACATCCAAGTCCTGATATAATCGCGAGATAACAAGCATAAACAGTCATCAAATCATACATAGCCGCCCTACCTACCAACACACTATAGAAAATAAAATCTCCAAGGCCAAGCTTCAATCCCCTAAAACCTCCAGCAACATCCTCCCTCTGGCTCTCATTCTCTCGGGATGCTCTGTTATTAGTACTATTACCCTCGAACATGCCAGCATTATCATTGTTTCTCCTCTCACTTGGGGACGATAGCCTTTCCATTGAACTACTACCACCAATCAAAGGAGAACTCTCTCCTACATCCTCTCTCACCACTTCAATCTCATTACTTTCATTTTCCAACACATTGATTCTGGACTCCCCATCTCGATTCTCATTTCCATTATTATCTTCGCTCCTCAAAACCGTCTGCAACTCAACTTCAACACTATTACTTCCACTCTCATCTCCCATAACCCCACCAACCAAAAGCCCCAAACTGGAACCCCTAATGCCCGACCTTCCCATATCAGCAGTCGGTCTCGCCTCGTATATCAAAGCTGGCAACTCCTCATCCCGACTAGATGCCAACTCCACCAACAATTTCAATGGCCCACCAGGCGCCAAAACTGCCACCAAATCATAAATAGCCAGCGCCACCAACAAAACCCAAGTAGTCCATTCAGGTAACTTGGTAAACCACGCCGCCACAATAATCCCCAAAGCCACCATATAACTCTGCTTCAACACAATCGGCCCACTACTCGACAAAACACACAGAGTACCCACAATCGTAAAATTAAAATGTAAAACACAGAACGTAACAACATCAACAGGAAAATTAAAATGCTGAATCAGTGAAAGCAGAACGGACCCTCCCATCGAGGAAAACACGGCGAAGGCGGAGAAGCGCGTGTAATACACGAGAAATTTAGTAAAGTTGTAGTAGTAAAGGAGAACAAGAAGGAAAGTCACAAGAGCAATTAGGATAACGAAAACGGCGGCGTTTAAGAGGGAACCCTCAAGTTTCTGGGAGGTGGAATCGGTGGGGGACTCCATGTACACTAGATTTGCGGCGGTCCTGATGGTGGTGGCAGTGGCGGGATTGTAGAGGGAGTAGACAAGGAGGACAACGAGGAACATACAGATGGAAACTGGTGACATTACGCCTATGATTTCTTGGCCGATTGACTCTAGGATGCTATCACCGGGCTCCATTTTGTTAGGGTTTTGCTATTTGGCGTAGGGTAGGATAAGGCAGGGCAGGGTGGTGGAGTTGGGGAAGAAAGAGAAATGGAGCGAGAGAGGTCGAGGGTGGTTTGGTTAGTTTATGATTATGACCATTTGAAGTGAAATCAAAGTGGATTCTTGCTAGTGGCGAAACCTTTTGTCGAGTAAGAGCGAACCTAACGATGATATTAAATAATTTTAAATTGATCGAAAATCCCTCCAACAGAAAGAGACAGAGAAAAAGAAAATACCATATTTTGACAAAAATGTCAAAAAAAAAAAAAAAATTAAATTTACATTTTTTTTATATACACAAAAAGCAAAAATTAAATTTATATCCATATGAAAATGCAAAAGTAATTTTGAAGATCAATGAAAATCTTCTAAGTCAAAAGTTGAAGTGCGACGGATGTTAGCTCTGTGCATCTTCAAAGAAAATTCAATTTTGCCGAATTCGCATTGGAGATAGTGTGACATTTAACTCCGATGGCTAGCTCACAAAAGTATCTCAATAACAAAAGACCCGAGGCTTACAAAAGAAAAAAAAATAACTACGACCAAATTAAGCCTATGTTGGTACAAAAATACTTTAAAACTCATTTTCATCGAACTAACCAGATTCTTCAAATGAAATAATTTGTAATTTTGCACGTTCCCTACATTATACTACAAATTATTCCAAATTTTTCTTTAAAAAAATTCATTTTTCATAGTCAATTCTAAAAATATCTACATCAAACACACTCTAAGTGATTCAAGAATGTGAACGTGTACATACAGCCAGTAGAGAGTGCTGAAGCCATCATACACAGCCAGGAAGACAAGATTCACAATACGAAACTAGGGATGGATACAGGCATTGCTACCATTATAAGAATATCTCACGCCCATAATTTGTAATGGACAAATCCAATACAAACTGAAGCTGCTGCTGCTGCTGCTGCTGCTGCCGCGACATTTACACAGTCGGAATAGTAGGCTAATAATAATAATAATACAAACCTAGGGAGTTCGACTGATACATAAAACAAGTTTCTACACCAAATGCACATAATTTTCAAAGCCACGCAAAGAATGCCAACGCCAGAGAAATAAAGAACTCTTTGTCAGTTTGGAGTCCACGAAGAGAAGCAGGATCAGCTAGAAAAATAAACTAGTTGAATCCTATGCAAAAGGATTTCCTCCAACTGATGCAACAGGGCCTTGTGCAGGGACATTCCTGCAAGAATACCAAACAAATGATTGTGGGTGATAATAATTTTTATCCTTAGTATACAAAAGCAATTACTTGAATCCAGAACCCAGTTAGTAAAGATATTTATGTATACGAACTTTACACTTTCATTTTTTATTACACACTTTCATTTTTTATTTATTTTATTTTCATCCCGTTACATCTGAAAGAGTCGGAACACTTTGCAGGTAATTTAAATTTCAATGTAGAATTTCCGCCCTCTCACACGTGCCCTTCTCCGCCCACTCTTTACAGGAACAGGTTAATGCATTCAGCAATTTGCTCTACCCAGCTAATTTCTTTCCTGATCTTTTCTCTTAGTTTGAATTTCTGTCATCCTGCGGTTTAATTCTATATCTATAGATCTATATTTTCTTTTGTTTCTGCAACCAAAGTCGAGCCATATTAACAGAAGTCACGAAACTGACAGTATGCACCAACCATCTAGAGTTCGGTGGCCATCAATATTAACAACAAAATAACTGTAGAAAATAAGCACCCAAGTAAAAATCTCGACAATCTAATTTCTTAATTTCCCAGGATTTGGAAAAATTAGGATAGTTTGTTTGAAATTTTATAACAGAATTTACGAGAGCAAATAATCAATTAAACTATGCCCCCATTACAATGAGAAACTCAAAAGAACTTTTTGCTGTAAATGTTCATCAGCCCATTGCGAATCAAATGCACTCAACCATAATATCGTAAATCACTCAATTGCCAACCACGAAGCTTTATGAAGCTTCAACAACAAGGCCAACCACGAAAGAAACAAGCCACAAACAGATTATAACATAAATGTAATGAAGTCGATAGGGAAAAAAAGACAGAGAAAAGGAAAGAAAGAGAACATACGGTATCTGGTTGCTTGGTGCTTGTCCTATAAATCCCAAAGAGCCTGCAAGGTAAACGATAGTCAGAAAGGACACATAATGATACATGAAGAATTCTTTTCTTGTAGAAGATGATAGTCATTCGAAAATGAAATACCAATGGGAGGGTCAAATGTCACTCCACCAGGAACATAGGATGGAACTGGATTTTGGGGAAACCAAGATTGAGTCATGCCACCAACAAAAGAAGTTGGTATACTGCTATTTGGCAGTGCCGATTGCAAAGAGCTCATGTCCCAGAACTGAGACTAAACATGCATCATCAACATTAGAAATTATTCCCATGAATATCAATAATGATCTTTAACTACAAAAAAAATCCACGCTTTGTGATCTGATTAATTAATACAAGACAATTGTTTAAAGGAAACCCATCAGTATCACACTCAGTTCTGATTAACCATGGCATCATACAACTAAGAGAGTTCCAGTTAAATGCAACTTAAAGAATGAAGAGAAGAATGCAAATGCCTCTCCACACACTACATACCTTACTCTTGAAAATATATAGGTCAAACGGATGCTAGGCAACTAATGTAACAGAATAAAGCATCTAGAAGACTAGATCCAACTTTTTTCAAGTAACCACATGGTATGTGCAGTTAATGAGTTCGTATTCAACCAAATCAAGGAAGAATGGACATCTCATGGGGCTCACAAGTCCGTGTCCTGGATGTCTCGGACACGGAATGCCACCAAACACCAGACCAGTGTGACATGTTCAATAACATCAACATGTGCTTCTTTCTAATGTGAAAATAAAAAGGGTTGTGGTGTGTTACCACTACTTAAAAGAGTAAAAACCTATTTTGGGAGCATGAGCATGCTGCATCATTTCTATTATGATTATCATAATTGTCGAAAGTCAATATTCACTAGAAATGATGAAGGCAAAATTTACACCCCCGACATAATTTTAAGTCAATTTAATCCAATAACCTGGTTTTCCTATCTGTGACAAGAGGGGATTTAGAGACTGGGTTATGCGGTTTACAAATTCGACCAATAGGTTTTTTCAGTTAGACCAGTAAAAAGATGAATGAATTGTGCACTTTTAAAAGATCATTAGGAAGTTGCAGCTTTAAAAGGTAAACAATACTGAAGGCTCTAATCGGTAGATTTTGTACTAATTTGTTAGTAAATGAACTTTCTATTAATCGGCACCATAGCAGTGCACCACACATACAAAGATCATAGGATTTATCCGTCTAACAAAGGTATATGCCCTCCAAAAGGATTTACAATATGAACTAGTTAGCAGCTCTACATTGAAAATGTAAGAAATAATCTAAATCACACTTAAGTCGTGTATAGATCAAGCATAATTGCATAAACATGGAAAACATCAATAATGCAGCAAAGTCAGTGCTTAGTTTTGTGGCCCACATGAGAAACATTAGTCCCACTCCTTTCTTTACTAATAAAAAACAGGCAATCCATTCCACTTATCCCCAGATCTTGAGGGCAAGTCATTAAGCAAATCACAAAGAATAGACAGCAAACAAACCATACCATATTACTAGATTCCACGTCATAATCATCGGGAAGATCAAATGGATTGGAAGACTTGTGACTTGACAGATTTGAATGTACTCCATCCTATTAACAGAGTTGAAACTCATCATACATGAAAGAAGTGAACGCTAATTTAAATAAAAGTAGTGATTAGTGCAAGAAGGCTCAACCGAAGTAATAGAACAAACCACTGCAGGAACTGTATGGAAATCATGCGACAACACACTAGCATGTGATGATATATTAGATAAAGGGGGTCCACTATTGTTTGCAGTTCTTTGAAATAAATCATTACCCAGAGCCTACAACAATAAAAGATTGCAATTGAGTACAAAAAGAGCAACTTATTCATCCGCATTAACAGGAAGATATTGCAACCTCGTATGTATTAAATCCAATATACTGATTAGCATCTGAAGTATGGAGGGTTGCATCTGGTTCACTACTTTTGACAGTGTTCTTGATTGACTGTTCTTTGGAATCTTCGAACGCATTCCACGACTGCACAACATTAATATTATATAATTCCATATACTTAGAAATCATTGACAATAAACAGAATCAAGTATATGTTCCTCTGTTTGTAATTGTCTCGCCAAGGCCAAACTTATTTATCTTATAGTAAACATACGCAGAAAGAATAGTGCTTACTTGAACGTTCGCTACTTTTGGGATTGCTTCAAAATTTTGTGCACCTTCATGCCATAAAGTAGACACGTCTGGAGAAGGCCAATGATCAGAAGAATCCTGAGATGATGTCTTATGCATAAGTGATTGTGAATCTATGTTTCCTAGCAAACTCCTGTCAGAAGATGGTATTATGGCAGGGGGAGAATTTTCAATTCCCAGTGATGATGTGTTCTGAGGCATGTCAAACGTTGCCCATCCTTCATTTTTTGACGCTGCCTCAAAGATTTTTCCATTGGAACCTGCAGAGAATTGCTGCTGAGGCATCTCAGCAAATAAGTCTAAAGAAGAAGATGGAAGAATTTGAGATGGTTGATGTGAAATGAAAGTTGGAACTGAAGGAATTGAAGATTGCTGGATCAAATCAACTGATTGAGCTGGAGATGACTCTGGAAATTGAGTCATAGAATCTGCTGGAGTTGCAGAAGTAACATTTTGTGGTGCAAAGGGTGCACTGAAAAGATCCAAGCCATCAAAGTTCCCAGATACTGAACGCTCTGGTTGAGAAGGAAAAGACGACAACTTGTTATGGGAAGTCTCAGCATATTGTTCGGATTCTAAGGCAATTTCTGGCAAGTTAAAAGAATTTACGGATGTGAAAGACATGGAATTGCTATCAAATGAGCCAAAGCTTCCTGAAGATACAGTTCTCTGGATTTAACGTTATTATAGAGTCAGTAAATTAGCTAGAACAGTAAATGACAAGTAAAAATAACTAGCCAAAAAATTCACCATAAATTAATAGCCAACAAATAGATACCCAGTCAACATATGAACTAGAGATGAGAACTCAGCTAAACAAAACCATATCTGTTACCCGATTAATGAAAATGACAACATTTTGCTGTTGCAGCATCGTTAACCAAAAAATTATCACATTTCTCAAAATTTCTCAATTATTAATGACTAAAATGTTTTAATTTCATAACCAACCACAATTAGAAACCTACTTCTTATTTTTTTTACAAATAACAAGTATAAAATATATTAATAATGCATCAAGGGAGGCACAATTCATGTAGAAAAATCAAAAAGTCATCTTTCTATCACTAGTAATGGTGTACACCAACCAGAAACTCTAAATAAGAGTTCTAATAACGTCAATCCGTCCATAAACTAAATGAGGGCAAACAAAGAAAAAAAATACAAATTTAAGATCATTTTCAACTTCTAAATTGTCTTCCAAATTGAACCACAACTTGTATGCTGGAATTTAGCCCCTGTTTGGCCCCCATTATTCGAAATTTTAATGGTTGGAATAGTGTTTTTTTCCCCAAAAAATGTGTGGTTAAAAAAGAAAAAGTTTTGGAATTACGTGTAATATTATTTTATTGGAGAATGTGTTGTGTTGATAAGAAGAGAGAGAAAAATGAAATATAATTTTAATGGGGGCCAAAAAGGGGCTTAATAAAAAAACACAATTTAACATCACTTGGAAGATCGAGTCAGGCAATTTAATAAGATGGTAAGGATACTCGTACAGAGGAAACTTCAAATTTTAGTGACAAGTTTTGAGAAGTTTCATTTTCACCTTTTTCCTTTGCCTACTGTTTGTTTCTTTTCTTATGGGAGGAGAAACTTTGGCTTGCTATTTCTTCCTCAATTGGCATTACTATCCTAGTTTATTTAATAGTCAGAAAGAAATGCACAAATTCTTCAAATTTTGCAAGCATGCAGGAATAAGAGAGCAAATAACTCCATAATCAAGGATTTTAATACAGACAAGTACCAGAATAGCAATACTGGCAGAAAAGGTCCATGGAACTCCTTGTTTTATCAGAATGCATATAGAAATGAGAGAAACCTGACCTGTGGATGCAACATTCTTCCACCATCTCTTTTGGCGTATGCATCTGCATGGTTGGAAACTGTATGATGCCGTGCAACTTCACTTGAACTATCTTTTGACGCTGCACCAAAGGGGCTTCCAATGTCTTTCTGAGAGGAAGGTGATAGCATATCAGACCCCAATGAGTAGCCACCATTTGAAACAGAGTAGTCTGAAGCTCTGGGATTAGATCCTTCATTTGCAAACCTGTCCTCATATACATGATCACTAGCACGGCCAGGACTCAAGAAACTAGACAGCTTTCCTCCGTACAGGCCTCGATCTGACCCAGGCTTTCTAGTGAGTCCAGGAGCGTGTTTCCCATAGCGTCGTTCTTCATACTGAAAATCATATGGTGGACTTTGTGAGAAAGAATGGTATGAACTTGCTCGCCTTGTCTCATCTTCCTGGCCTTTTGCATTCTGAAAAATCAAAATATCATCATAATTTAGCCCTTTATTAAAGGTTGCCTGGAAATAATTGTGATGGGTAAATCAAAAGAAGTAAACCTAAAATGCATCTTTTCTGGAACCTCTATAGGATCACATTGGTCCAGGAACCTAACCTGTGTATCTCTTGGAGGTCTGTCAGATGACTTATCCAGGGCATATTTTTTATCTACATAAACATTCTTAATGAACTCGCGAACTTTGTCAACATTGCTGCAAGAGAAAGACATAGTTAAGATTCCAGTTTAGCAATTGACTGGTACTTCTGATCATAAAATAGATCTTGCACCTATTATCAGGAAGTCTCTGACTTTGTGGATCCCAGGCTGTTAAGTATATCTCTCTGGCACGCTGAATGAGCGATTCCTTGTAAGCAAATAGGAGAAAAGTTGTCTATCAGATAAAAATTGGGAACATAGTCATTTGCATACCTGATTACCACCCTTTTGAAGAGCTTCCACTTCTTGAGAAGTAAACTTAGCCATAGAAACAGACTTCACGCGATGAGTAAACTCACGACTGCACAAACAAAATGTGATTCTAATATTGATGTCTTGAAATAGAATCTTCGTCAATATTAAGCAAAAGAAAATGATCCCGATTAAAAAACTTGATCCAATGAATACCACAAGGAAGTAATCCAAGGAGATACAGCATACTAAAAACACACAGTCACGTGTATTGCATAGAATCATAAACACTGAAGTCAACCTCAATAGCAAGATACAAATCGATCTTCCGTAAACTTAAAAAATATATATAGATGCATGGCATGCAATAACAATATGCATACATTCACAATCGTAGATTTCCCTCTAACAAGTATTTGCATGATGCAGAGTTCAACATCTATTTTCATTTTATCCAGCCTATGCTTGGCCCCCCATTTTTTCAAAAACTCATTTTTTCAAAACTTATTTTCAACCACACATTCTCCTATAAAATAACATGACACATAAACCAAAAGCTTTTTCACTATTTTAAAACTCATTTTTCCCCAAATTTTCATTAAAATTGAGCCCAAACAAGGCTAAAGAGTATATATCATGTAGTTGAATCAATCACCATAAGTAAGAGAGTGACAATGCAGGGAGAAGAAAATCAGCTAGTTCTGTCCATAGATTATAGAAATATATCACCCAAAACCCAAAGTCTGTACCCAACAAATCCTCAACACATAAAAAATAACACTTCTATTTTAGTTTTCATAATTTGTAATTCATTTCTGTCAAAATTCAAGAAACCCAGTTTTATTTATTTCTCAGACAAGTAATCGTGCACAAATAGTAATAGCAGATTCTTTGATGGTGGTGAGAAAAATGCACTTACTGTATTCCACTGCAAGTCGTGCAAACAAAAGTCCAAAAGCTTGAGCAAACATATTGAGGTCCCTGCAGCCACAAAATAGTATTCAACTCAAAACATTAATCCCAATAAAAAGTATTTGAAGCATATATGAATCCTAAAATTTTAACAAAAAATAACATAGGAGACTTATGTTTATTACTTTAGGTTCTTTACCATTTTTTGAGGTCCTACAGCACGTATTACAAAATCATTTCTACAGAAAGTATTGTTTTAAAAACAAGTAGAGCTTAATGTTTTCTGAAAAGCCCCAAAATTACTGAAATTTAGCAATCTAACAACTTAAAATACTGTTCCTATATCTCAATTGATTAGAGGTTTTCAAAAAGGTAGAACTTTAAAATTTTGAATCGAAAATTTCCAAAAATGGAACAAAATTATATTAATACCAAGCTGTTACAGTTGATGCATCTTCGATTCGGAGGGAGCTTCATGAGACCCCTTATAATCTTCTCGTTTCGATCCTCTTCTTTTCGGCTGCTCATTTTCCAGGTTCCAAACCCGAACCTCAAAACTTCAAACTCCAAAAAATACCCAAAAAAAGGCTTTTTCAGCTCAAAATTTGAGGGAGAGAGAAATAACTGATTCAAATTTCCAGGTTTGGTTCGTTTCTTTCTCGGAAGTAGAAAGACCGAACTTGAATCAACCGTTTCTCGCTCCACTCTCTCGCTCTACAATTTTGGGGTTCAAAATTATTAATTTTGACATTTTATTTAATAACAATAATTGGGCCATTCTTGCCCGTTGGAAATTGATAATGCCAGAAAGGATTCGGTTCTGTTGAATTTTTTTTAATTTAGATTGTACATTGTGCTTATAAGGTTGTGTTTTTGGATTGGAAGGCTAGGAATTGTCGTGGTAGTACTGAAAATCTAGCATCATAATCTTAGATTTGATTGTAGTTATAGATATAGTCCTTTAAGTTTCAAATTATTGCAGTGAGATCCCATTATTATAATTAGTTTTCAGCTTTATTTCTTGTTTGAATTTGAATCTCCATTTTGCGCTGGTTTTAGAGTGAGAAATCTATTTGAAAACTCATTAGTTTACTTATTTCCCTTGTCATGATTAGGCCTTGTATGGGAGGGATTAAAATCGGATTAAAATTGAAAATAGAGCTGTTATTGTTGACTTTTATTAGACGAGTGGGACCCAATAACGACCATATTTTCAATTTTAATTGGCTTTTAATCCCTCCCGAACGGGGCCTTAATTTAAATCTCTTATTAATAGTTTTTGTTCAATGTTTTAACATTAATTTTTATTTTGTAGTTAAAACTTAAAAGTCAATTTTTATTCATTTTAAGTTAGGATACGCATGTTAAAAAATTGTTAAAAATTCGTGCTTATTTTATTGAAATCTATTGTACATGATTTTGTGCGAGAAAGCATCCTGAAAAAGAATAATATATAAATATAATTAATAAAAATATAAAATTTTATATAGAAAATGAAATTAAAAAAGTTACATGAATGATGAAATTAGAATACTCGAATGAATGTTAATTTATGAAGAAATAGATGAACAATATTTTTTTTAATAAAAGAAAGTTAGATGATAATGAACTTCAGATTGAACTTTAAAGAACATAGGAAAACAATTAAAAATTGGTATGTAAAGTGTTATATGATATAGTACATTATATATTACGAATGGTGTGCTTTGCTATTATTTATTATGAATATTTTTGTCTATTTACTATTATTGATGGCAATTTTTTAAATTTTTTTATCAAAAGTTTTTTTTTTTACCATACTGTAGAATATTATAAATTAAAAAAAAAAAATATTCTCTCCAATGACCTAGGCAGGTTCAACCAGCTCCATGAATAGCTCTTCATCTTTTTTTTTTTTTTTATGACTTAGGTGTCAAAGTTTTGTTTGACTAATCTTGAAGAGTGTCGGCCTTTTCCTCTGGTTCGCGGATGCGATCATAGCTTATACACATTTGGGCTTATACAGTCTTTAAACATGTTCAATCATCATTACTGATAGATGTTCGGCTAGTATAATGCTTGAGCCATGGTATATCTTAAGCTGGAAGGAGTGTATCTCTAGCAACGGTAAACCAATACTTGCTAAAATAGCTTCAAGAAGCAAATCTACTCGTGTTTGGAAAATGTTAATAAATGATTTTTAGAGAAAATTACACAAAACCCTGTCTTTCAAGATTCATATTCAAAAATCAGGGTGAAGATTTATTTGTTCAAAAATCAGATATTTGATATTTAAATATTATATATTATATATACAAATTTCACACCCAAACCCTAAACATCATTTACCACTCTCTCCTCCCCCTCCCCTCTCTCTCTCTCTCTCTCTCTCTCTCTCTCTCTCTCTCATCTCCAGTCTCCGTCGCACGTGGCTTCCGTCGACGAAGACCACAGCGGAGCTCGTGGCTATGAGCGGTGTTGGTCCTCACTGCGACGCCTCCAAGCGTCGCTTGCAGCGCCGATTTGTGCGGTGGTCTAATCTACAACGTCGATATGCTAGAATTTATAATTTTTTTTTGTTTTTTATGCGATCTACTATGTTGTGGTCGGCGATGGTGGTGGCAATGAGGTGGTGCAAACTTTTTGGTTTTTGTTTCTGTTGGTGAGGTTGGAGTTGGCTGCAGTGGTGAAGTTGTGGTGACGTTGGGTTTTTTTTTGGGTAGGGGGGGAGGGGCGGTTAGGTGGTGGTGGTGGTTGGTGGTGCAGGTGGTTGTTGTTGTGATGGTTTTTGTGGTGTTGGTGGTGAGGTGGCGGTCTGACTGTGGAGGTGGCGACGGTTTCAATGGTGTTTTGTTGGTAGTAGTTTGTGATATTGGCTGCGGCGGCGAGGTGGTGGTGCTATTGGTTCTGGCGATAACAGTGGTGATGTTGGTGTTGGATGCAGCGGTGGCTGTGGGTTTTGTGGTTTTAGGGGCGATGATGTTTTGTGGTGATGGTTTTTGGTGGCGGTAGAGATAGAGGTGGTTGTTAGTGGCGTTGTCGGCCATCGTGTGAGGGTGGTCACAAGTGGCGGTAGAGACATTGGAGGTGGTGTTGGTACATGACCCAGTAGTTGACCTGTGACCAATTAGTTAACTGCGACCCTTAAAATTCGAACTGTGACTCAAAATTAAATAAGTTGTCACCAAAAAATTTACCTGTGATCATTTGAAAATAACATGTGCTCCTTATATTTAAAATAATAATAATAATAATAATAATAACTCGTGACTATGAACAAAATTCTGATTTATGAC